CCGTATAGTATATGAGTTAAAAAATACTAGTATTAATATATATATATATATATATATATATATATTAATTATATTATTTTAATTAAATTTATTATTTTTCTTACAATTTCAAATTCAAGAGTTAAAAAAAAATATTTTATGTATCCACTTTTCGTTGTTATTACTTGAACTTCTCTACCCTAACTATATTTTCATTCTCGATGTCTATTTCATTAAAACTTAACAACTATAAAAAGTTATTCATTAGAGTTAGTTGGTAATACCGCCACAAGAGATCACCAAGTGATCCCACACGAAGGACCATCCACTGTGCAGATCTATTTCATTGTTGCTCTAACGTTGCCGATTGATCAAATCTCACACAAGATAGAGTTATCGTCGACAAATAACTTGTGTGTTTAGTTTCACTTATTGTTTCTAAGAATTTTAGTTTACAAAATTATTATATTAAAATACATTTAACACTTGTGATCTTTGAATATTTATTTTTTTATCTATGTTTGTACCTTATTCGACAACTACATATTGAATTTTAGTATTATTATGCTACTTATCTGAAATTATATAAACATATTTTTCTTTATAAATATTTTTTTCTCAAATAAGCGCGGGTAATGGGTACAAGATGGGTATACGGGTATCAGAGGGTACAGGTATGGGAATTAATGTTCATATCCACACAAGTATGAGACTGAGTACGAATATTTTTTTAAAACGCGGGTATGAAAATTGGTATTATAGTACCCTAACCATTGTCATTTCTAATCTCATATCTAACTTCTCTCGTACTCTTCTCACTCCTCACCTCACCCCACCCCCATATCCACCTCTCTCACTTTTCTCCATCCTCCTCTCTCCATCTCCACTCATCCTCAGTCTTATCTTTCCTCTACACTTAATCTATATTTTCTCAAGTGCATAGAATTTATTTAAGTTAATTTTGTATAAAAAAATTAGTCATTTTCTCTATTTTTATTTAAGCAAAAATAAAACTGAACGTTTAGTTCCTGCTACAACGAGAGAAAATCTGAATTCATAAGTTGTTTGTTCCAACGCATCATGTGAATTCATTGCTTTTTAGAATTTTTTTCTTAAATTTATAATGATTATATAGAGAGTTAAGATTTTTTCATATTATGTCAAACTGATTCTTACATCTTTTAATAAGTTTTCCTAAAATATTATAATGATGAATTCAATCATTGAATTATTTTATATTATTTATATGATCATTTATATCAATTTTTTATAGTATTTAAACATTTATAAATATATTATCTAAATTTAATATTTATTATATTTTAAAAATATAATACTTATTAAAATAAAATAATATAATAAAATACTTGTTAATTTTATTTTTATATAAAAAATTATAAAATTAAATTATTTTATAAAAACTTTGATGGATCAATCTTACGTTCAAGTAATAACACGGGACATGAGGACTCTTATTAAACTCAACTCAAACCGGTCGGTTGAGTCAATTAAATCACAAACCTGACATATGATTGGTTCAAATTCAAATCAGTCATTTAATCAATCATGCAATTGAATCGTCTTAAATTGGCTTAACTTAGTCCAAAACCATTAAGTCGGACCAAAACTCAGAAACTTAACTCCATTCCTTAACCGGCAAATAAAATGTCCATACTTTTAAGGTAAGAAATACCCACCACTGAACCAAGCTTCATTCTTATTTACTATATTCAACGTTTACTATTTATTATATATCAGTTTATGTGGCACTCGTTTTTATTTTTTGGGTCAAATATGTGACACTCGTTGAGACTCCTTGACTTGTTCAAAATTCACAACCTCTCGTCGTTATTCTTGGAGTCCACGTGCATGGCCTGTGTTAACGTGAAAAAAAAAATTATTTAGGACTATTGCAAAAGTCCGAATGCGATTTGCCATGTGATTCACTTCCCAATCAGGCAATTAATTTTCAAATGAAAGATATTGTTTGTAACACCTAATTATTATTGTCATTCTTCTTCAATTATTGTTTATTATCATTTTGTTTCTTAAATTTTTAATAATCATTTGTACTGATTGACAAAATCCAATTGTAATTTATTATAGAAGTACAATTTTCTTTTAGATTCATAGGAAATATCCCTACATCCTCTAGAATTAAAACAAAATTCATACATAATAAAATTATACAGAAGTGACTTGTAAGTATTTTTCTTAAACTTTCTAGTATATTACGAGACTGAACATTTCAGATACCAAGTGAGCGAAGTTTTTATGATTTTATAAACCTGAGTAAATATTTTCATTAAAAAATGTTTATGAACAGAAAAAAAATGTCGAGTGTTAGTATCTTTTGTTAGGATAACTTTTATCTAATAAAAACATAATCATTTGTATAGATATTGTGTTTATATTAATAATATAACGTATTGAACTAATAATTAATGTATTGATAATATATACCAATATTTTATATTAGTAGAATTCTTTGGTAGTATAACATATTATAATGCTAATATACATCTACAATTTGTATACTAATAAGATCGGAGAGCAGGTTTATTTCGAGGAACAAGGTTATCAATCTGGTCAGGTTATTGAAGGTGATTGGAAATGCACCCGAGAATAGTTTCCTGGCAGGTTAAGAAACATTGTCTCTGATGTTGAAGGTCATATTAAACAGATTAAGAACATTGTCTCTGGGAACATTGAATTACAAATTATACGCGCCCTATAGACTAGCGCAGGTTATAAGTACCAATCCGCAAACCACAATCTTCCTACTTATCCCTAGCAATAATTTGTGCTACCTCATAAAATTAATGTTTTGACTAAGGATATTCATAGGTTGAGTGAAATTTGGGATATTTTTTAATCCAATCAACTCATTTCGTTGATGAATTAAGGGAATTTTTTTGTTCAACTTGACATGGTGTTGACCCATTGACACATATACCAAGAAAAAAGAACAATGGATACGTATAAAGATATTTACAGGTTAAATGTCAACACAAAGAAAAATCCCAAATGTACCAAGCAGTAATAAAGAACTCCAAAATATGTGTCAAATACACTATGAAAACCCACATATAAATTATCTGAGTCAATTTATACCAGTGTCATCACGAGTAACATTTGGAATGTAGTAATTACTGACTTTGTAGGTAATTATTTAAGAAAAAGTGTTCTCCAAGTTTGTCCATCAATTCTCTTTATAATGGTCTTTAATGAACTTCATTCATTTCTTATCTCTATTTTCTTTGTGAACATTCTCAACATAACCCCAATATTTTATTACAATGGTCCATAAGATGCTTCATCAATTTCTTATGTATGATATTGTGGTTAACAACCAACACATTACATGCACTAAACGTTAAATGACAGCACGAAACTGAGGAGAAATAATTTTTTAAAATATAATATGCTGGTTGGGTTGGGTTGGGTTGTGTGGGTACGAAAAAATGGGTTCCCTCACCAATATCAACCACCTATACAATGCTACCATAATCTCAGAAAAATTCCCTAATAATAATATAAATCAAGGTGAAGTGTTGTGTGAATACGGATATCACTGTCTCTGTCACCCATGATCATTTGATACTGCGGAAAGATAAGAGCTCTCAACAGGAGAATGGTTACGATCCCACCATGGTTATATAATTGAAACCTTATAAGGTATATGAAGATAACTTGCATAGGTATGCCCAGCATTCATTAATGAGTATATAATAAAGGAGCACACCTTTCAATTGTTTAATGTGTCACCCTGGCATGCATATGCAGTTCAAGATTGCCATATAAGTAAAATGTTGCACCTCCAACTTGTAGAAAGTAAGAAACAAAGAGGCGTATTCAAAAGGTGATGATAATAAGCATAGAATCCAAGGGAAAAATAATTGATATAGTTGCAATAACATACACGTGATTAACCACAATCAACTCTAAACTTCTCGCAGAACAAAAGAAGCACCATATCGCTGACCACCATTAGCTGGAATATATACAGTTGATTCAGATTTCATTCAGCTAAAGATACACCCGATACTTGAAAGCAAACAAGCAATAAGTTCACAATCAACATTTCTAACGATATAACATCCACATAGATACTGACCAGCAAATAAATCTGCCCATGAAATTAAATATCAAAAGAGGGTACGCTTATAATATACCAGAAAATAGAGCATCAATACAATCATATCACATAATTTAGTGCATGTTTGGAAACACGTTAGAAAAACTTTAAACGTAAATGAGACACTGACGGTAAAACTAATATCATTGAAGTAAATGTGATTCGTGACCAGTCAAATGTTAAATCGAAGTTATCGAACATGCACCTAATGCATTTTCAACAAGCCTGAAACCTTCAAGGGACTGGTTTTCTTTTGCAGAAATGAAACATTCACAGAGAATAAAGATTCATCTACATTGTCTTCTGAGTCGTGAGAGAGGGATATCTAAATTTGCAAGTTAAGAAATCAAAAGTGAAAATTTTATTGCAAAGTTTAACAATTCACTGTCCACGTGATTTTCAATGTTTCACGCCACCTGATTTTTAATAAAAGTTATTGATTCAAACAGCAAAAGCATTAAAAAGCAAGATCCAATTCTAAAAGACTAACACCAAATAAATAGAAGAAAACTGAATTGGCACATAAGAGAGAAACCAACATCACAATGTAATTGCGGCAATGTCAGTTAAATCATCAACAAATAGTTTCAATTGACAACTTGTAAGTGCACAAAATCTTGAAAGCTCTACTTATAACAATCAAACACCAAAGATTGTGAATCAACTTTATCGTTATTATCACATAATCAGATGCAGCAAGAACCTACAAACACAAGGACCAAAAAAAATAAAAAATAAAACAAAAAGAATATTTATAAAGTTAGAAAAGAGACAAATTTTCAAGCAATTCGGATAATTCAGAGTAAATCTACACCCTCTGATCTCTCATATTCTACAAATTTTCTAAAAGATAGATAAATGAAGATCAATGAGTGAACCCAAACACAGTATTAATGTGTGAACGATCAAGAGTCGGAAACGGCGGCGGCTGAGGGTGGAGCAACGTCGGAGGCCGGGGGAGCTCTGGCCTTGAAGGTGTCGAGCATGCGTTTGCTGATCTCCTTCGAGTAGACCTGGAGGATCTCAATGCCGTCGGCGGAGGAGGACGAGGAGACACCAGCGGCGGAGAAAGCCTCGTCCTCGATCTGACGAGCGGCGGCGGAGGCTTCGTCGGAGGAGAGAGTGCCGTAGCGCTTGGAGAGGATGGAGGTGTTGGAGAGTGTCTCAATCAAGCGGTTGATGACAGCGTCGCGGGTTCGCTGCGTGGGAGGCCATATGCTGAAGGAGATGGTTTCGGGTTTGGTGGTTATCGGGTCGGTTTGTGACGGAGCGGAGTGTTGTTCGGGTTGGATTTCCGGGTCGGACATTGTGTTCGTGTTGTGGATGTTGAATGCTGATTGATTTTTAAAGTTGTGTTTTCTTCTTTGTGGAGTGGCGTTGGGTGAGAGATGACTTATGTTATGAGTAACAACAAGAAGTGATAAGTGATTGATTTTGGGGGTGTCAAGGGTAGGGTTTCCTTGTAAGATATCTCTACGCCTGCGACGTTCTACCTTCTCTTTTTTATTCAATAAAAAAATATATATATTTACCATTTAATATCATATTTTCTCATTTCTATATAATATCTTGTTTTTCTATTTTCATTTTTTTTTCTTTTTTTTTTTTCTGATTCCATTCTAACTAGTGATATACCATTATACTCTTGATAGATAGAAAAGGATGTTCGCTGATACGATTTAAATTTATTTTTTTTACAAAAAAATATTGATTTTGAGTATAATATTAATTTTTATTGAATTTAATTTGAATTAAATTATCTTATTTTATTTTTATATGTTTAGTTTAAACGTATAAATAACATCAAACAAATCTAAAAAAAACACTTTATACTGTTAATAGATAGAAAAGAATATTTGCTAATATGATTTAAATTTATTTTTTTTTTTGCAAAAAACATTGATTTTGAATATATATTACTTTTGATCAAATTTAATTTGAATTAAATTATCTTCTTTTATTTTTTATATGTATGATTTAAACATATAAATAACATCAAACAAATCTAAAAAAATACTTTATACTGTTAATAGATAGAAAAAAAATGTTCGCTAATATGATTAAAATTAATTTATTTTTTGGCAAAAAACATTGATTTTGAGTATAATATTAATTTTGATCAAATTTAATTTAAATTAAATTATCTTATTTTATTTTTATATGTTTAGTTTAAACATATAAATAACATTAAACAAAAATAAAAAAAACACTTTATATTGTAGATAAATAAAAAAGACTGTTCACTGGTATAATTTAATTTAATTTTATTTTTTTTGCAAAAAGCATTGATTTTGAATATAACATTAATTTTGATTGATTTTAATTTGAATTAAATTATCTTTGGTTTAAACATATAAATAACATTAAATAAATCTAAAAAACTCAATAATCATAAATAAAAATCATTTTAAAGCATTATTTATCACATCTAAATTCTAATAGTAATTTAAATAGTTTTAATTTTTTTTAAAAACATATATATATATATTTTTTTTTCTAATAAGATAAAATTAGTATTTTCATTATTAAACTTAAAGTTTAAATTCAATTTTGTTTTTTAATTTTATTTTGATTCATTTTAGTTATCTAACTTTTTAAAATGTTTCAATTTAAAAGGAAGTAAATAATCATTTTAATAAGTTAAAAGTGCAACTTGATAAATAGTGACAAATTTGAGGAAGAAGACAATAAATAATATATGTGACAAAAAAAATAAAAAGTATTAATTGAATTAATGCATTTAATAAAAAATAATTTATTTGAAACATTTTAAAAAGTTAAAAGACTAAAATAAATCAAAATAGAATTAGATGACGAAAGCATTAAATTTGTCTTCTAATAAAGCAAAATTAAAATAATAAATTACAATAAAAAGATATATTTTTGTATTAATTTATTTATAATGCTTATTTTAAAGAATTAGTTTTAACATACATATAAGTATTATTATTTCTCATTTTTTTAATAATAATTTTGATCCATTATTCACTAAAGTGATCCTTATGTCAAATAGTATTGTGGTCTACTCTTCTATTTTGCTAATGTAATTATGGCTTTATTATTAGGAAGAAGAGATCAATATTTTGCAAGAAAATCTTATAAGAAGGGAAATGGAAAACCACTTTTTAAAAAAAGAACTTAAAGCTTGTAGGTAGACAAATTTAAAAGAGATGTGACTAATCATTTAACAAGCTAATGGTGCAACTTGAAGTATAGTATTTGTAGGCTTAAAAGGAAGAAGACAACAAATATTAGAGTAACAAAAAAATAAAAATAAAAAATTATTAATATAGTTAACGTTTTTAACTGAAAATTACTTATTTAAAATATTTTGAAAAATTAGAAGATTAAAATAAATCAAAATAAAGTTAAAGAATAAAATTAAATTTTACCTTAAATTGAATGACAAAAATACTAATTTTTTTAATAAAAATTAAATAATAAAAAATGACAACAAATACATTTATGTATTAATTTATTTACCATGCTTATTTTAGTTAAGGAGTTAGTTTTAACATATGTGTGTATTATTATTTTTCATTTTTTCATAAATTAATTTTTTTAAAATAATATTTTTTTCAACCAGTCACTAATCTCATCCTCACCTCCAAAAAACATTGTTGTCTACTTTTCTATTTTGTCAATGTAATTATGATTTTACTATTATTTTTTATTTAAGATTGTCTATTCTAAACAAAAAATATTAGTGATGTTCTTTATCTTTATAAAAATTATTGTGTTACATATAATATAATTGAGATTGGTTTAATTATAATTAGGGACGTAAATGATGAGTAATTAATTGAACTTTCTTGCATATAAAGGTAGATATATTTTCATTGTATGAAGAGGAATGTTAGCAACACATCTTCTAATATATTCTTTTTAACATATTTATTATTATTAGTTAAAATTTATTAAAAACTATAAAAATTATGTAAAATTCACCATTTCTTACTATTAAATTAATATTTATCTTACATACTTTTGTAATTTTTAATAAATTTTAATTAATAAAAATATGCTAGAGAAAATATTTTTAGCATTTTTTTCTATCAAATTTCTCGTTTTGTCAAATTTTTCTTATAAACTTTCTTTCTTTCTCCCCTTTTAAAAATAAAAATAATTTTTTTTTATGAAAAGTCACCATTAATGATATTTAAAATAAAAAAAAATTTATGCCAACTAAAATAATTATTGATGACTTTTCATGTCTAAAAATAATAAAAAAATGTCTTAAACCTTGTCATTAGCAACTTTTTAATCTTAAAAATAATAAAAATATACTAAAAGTTGTTATTGGCAATTTTTTATTTTTGTGTTTATAAATATGGAGTTCTTCATTCATAGCAAATTACAAGTAAAGGGAAAGAAATATTTTTAGTTACAGACTAAGTTTATTCGTTGAGAAAAATATAAATGTATCAATACTAATGTACTTTAATGATAAGTGTAACACCTTAGTTTTACTTTCTAAAATAATGAATTTCACAAAAATAGGGAGAATAAACTTTTTCATTCAAATAAATTCTCATTAAAATGTTTCAAATTTAAGGAATAAGGTTACAATATTCATATCAAATCACTGTTACAGGATTAATTCAAATACATTAATTTCAAAATGATATCCTAAGTCCTGTAGCAGTTCCATCCACCCTTTCACTAAGACTGGTGCTGATCATTTTGATTACCTAAACAATGAATGTAAGGGTGAGTACTCTAGACTACTCATTACACAAACAAATACAAAGTCTCACCTTCGCATATTTTACATCATTTCTAATACAATTCATATAAATATATTTACATGCAGCATTACCATTCAATTCATTTTTAATTTTACTCTGATGCACTCACGGCACCAAACAGTTTACACATACGTAATTATTAAATAATAATCTCGTGCACTCACTGCACGCCAGCCACGCTCACTGTGGCACTGTGATCGCAGATTTTCACTATGGATGGTCGCTGATTACTTCCGCCTCATAGATACCACGTGGGCAGTCACGGGTCGCTCAACAAAGGTAGTGGTCAGAAGTCTAGTCAGGAAGAGAGTGTGTGACCCGTAGTGCACTCGCTCCCACTGTCGGTGTCACCACCACTCTCTCTTCCCTAATGTATTTCTACCGTCATCATCTTCCATACTCCCAGTGTATTGTTGAACCATTCACAACACATTACACCAGCGTTAATCACGCCCCATTCACACACGTTACAATATCCATCTCAGTATACGGCACAAAGCCCACAGTCATGCATAATACACGGCACTAGGCCACATTTATTCGCAATAATCGTTCTCAGTACACAGCATTAGGCCCACATTTGTTCGCAATAATTGTTTTCAGTACACGGCACAAGTGCCTACATAATTCATTTCAACCACACACACAATATTCACCACTGTTCAAAGCTCTCAGCCTACACTTATTCACATTGCACAGCACACACATTGCTCTTATTTACTCACAATATTTTCGACATAGTTCACATTTACTTTCTCCATTTATCAAGTATTAGCATACACACAACACACAAATTTTTTTTTTATCAAATACATATTTTCTACCATCTATCTCAACCACATTGCAATATTCATCAAAATACACGACAATCAAACCCAAAGAGATAGGGTAGAGTCTCCTCTTATCTTGGATTGAAGACTCACACTCGAATTCAACCACGAAAGTGCTCCCCACACGGATTTTGACCTAAATACATTGAAGAACTCCATGAGAATCCAAGGAAACTGAGAAATAGAAAAAGAGCATGAAAAATGAAAACCCTAACAATTAAAACTCACCTCCAAGCATTTCCAACACAAATCCAACCTTCAATCAAGCTCTTGAACGACTTTGGAGGTAATTTAATCGGTGGGATAGGGTTTTGGGTTGAGAGAATCGAAGAAATTTCGAAGGGAAGGTAAGAAATAACTTTTCTCGAACCCTAATCCCCTTTAAATCCTCTCTGGTCACAACACTCTCGCTACAGCGATACCCTCCCCCGTTACAGCGAAAAACTCAGACAAAACTGCATTCTGGTTTTTGCAGAATCTCGCTACAGCGAGACTGCATCCAGAAATATACCCTAAAATGTTGCTTTGTCGTTACAACGAGACACTCTCACTACAGCGATAAGGCGGCAATTTAACGCCTTCCTCACAGGGCACTCTCGCTACAGCAAGGCATCTCTCATTGCAACGAGAATACTCTGCACCAGAACACTTAGCCAAAATTCAGTCCAATCTCAATCATCCAATTATCTACAATTATAAATACACTACACAAAAAAATCAACACAAATACTCATATTAATAATAAACTATATTACAAAATTTGGGGCATTATAATAAGATTCTTATAAACACTTCTAAAAGTGTATTATTTAGA